TTCTCTGTTCCACACAGACCTGACAGGCAGGCCCTCGCACCAGGCCAGGGGACACTGTGTGTGCACAAGGGGGAATGCTTTGTGCCAGGGCTGCATCCTTCCGGACTCACACTCACACTGAACGCGTGGTCTGCGGAGCCAGCCGCTGCGAAGGATGGCGCATCGAGAGGGAGGGGCGCCCCACTGTACAGCCGCAGGACACAGGGGACACCACCTAGCTGGGAAAAGCAGCGAGGACCCGGAGGACCCTGATGGAGACCAGAGACAGCCGCCTTCAGGACAGTCCACCGCGACCGACGGAAAGCAGAGCTCCGCACGAGTGGCCACTGTACCCGGCTCCACAGTCCACAGCCGCGCAGCCACAGCGACGACACATCAAAGGACGCTACAAAGTCCTCCTGGAAGTGTGCCGGGGCAAGAGTGCCACTCTGAGGACCGGGCCTGGAGGCCGAGGAGCCAAGTCACGGCCGACCAGCTTGCGTCCGTGAGAGCAGGACAGGGCAGAAGGAAGACGGAGGAGCTGACGCACTGAAGGACGGTCTCATCAGCCGTGGACACCAAACGTGCCCCGACGGCCAAGAGAACCAGCAACTCTGTCCTGGAGCAAGTACGGCCGGGGCGCTCCTTCGAGGTGAGGGTAGCAAGACTTCCCTTCACGTACTTTGGGCCTGTGACCAGGAGAGACCAGCTCCTGGAGAGGGGCAGCGGCAGAGAGCAAGGCCCTCGACGACGGATTGGCCCAGTGCCCGAGACAGTGGGCTCAAGCAGCCACAGCTGAGGATGGCACAGGGGCTGGGCAGTGAGTGTGTCCTTCTGAGTGTGCCCACTGGGTCTCTGACTCCCCACACACATGGCAGCCCCTGACGGCGCTGAAGGCAAGGGGCGTTCCTTGACCCTGTCTGTCTTGTGATGGTGGTTGGTTTGGGATCGCTCCCTGCCTGTGGGACACACGCCCCCAAGTGGCCCGGGCGCTGGGCGCAGCTGTATGACTCTCTCCAGAGAGAAGTGTGGGGCCCGACTGCAGGGACTGTGCCCCCAGAACAGGCGGCAGCAGCATAGAGAACTCCAGTGGGCAGTGCCCACCCAGGATGGCCCTGAAGTGGGCTCTGTGGGTCCTCCAGGGTCCCTCCAGCAATGTTCTTTGATAAGCCCTGTCCTAAAACCCACCCAGTGGCCTCTGAGACCTGAACCCATGAGCCCCAGGGGCCCCTGGAGCTGTAACCTGCATCAGCCCAGGCCTGGCTGGCCGGGAAAACTAGCCTAGCATGTGTAACTGATGTGGTCTGTCTCCAGTGCACCTCCCCACCCCCACAGTTACTCCCGAGCACCCAGACAGCCTTCACCATGTAGACCCACTGTTTCTGGCTGGAGGCGCCCAGTGGCCCTCTTATTTTGGGGACATACTGGTGTGTGATCGGAATGCTGGCTGTGCCCTGGAGCATCCACTGCCAAATGTCACCTCAGGCACTGTGCCCAAGAGCCTGGGCAGTCTCCCACCCTCACCTGCCCCTTACAGCAGCCCTCTTGCCCTCTCATCCTGGGCACCCAGATCAGGGGGACCCATGCACCAGGGACAGATAGTGCCCTGTCCCACACCAGCCCCAAGCCTGGGCACTGAGATCCATACAAGGTTCTTTTCCTGATTTAAGAGATGTCCCACCTCACCCCTGCTGCTTATCTTGAAATATTGGGGGCTTCCTCCTGCAATGCATTCCCTACCCACCCTTGCTCTGAGCTGGAGGGGACATAATGGTGTTGAGGCTTTGAAATCACAAAACCCAGGATTTGAAGAATGCAGGGAGGACACCTCTCCACCCACCTGAGGCGATGTGCACCCTGCTGCACTGCTTCCGGGGGAGGGACACTCATGGAAAGAACGTCACAGACATGCAAAGATTCATCACGCCAGATGACCCCTCCCACTTAAAGAAGGGGGGGGGGGGGGGGGGCGCTCCATGTACATACCACAACATTTCTAAGTATCCAGGAAGGCACAGACCCACGGCACAGGTACTGGAACACTGTGCTGGGGGGCAGCACTGGGGGAACCAATAAACAATGGGGTGCACCATGTCTCTGAGTGGGAGAACTCCACCCTAACCAACTTCACATCTAGCCAGTGAAGTTGCAGTCAAACCCCAAGAGAGCTATTCTGGAGCTGGTTACATTGATGGCAAAACCCAGTGGGGCAGCGTTGTAATGAGCAGGGATACATTGTAACAAGCAGGGACACATTGTAACGAACAGGATGATGCCTTGCAAGCTGCAGGGATACTTCACAGTGAACAGGGGTGGTTGTGACCAGCAGGGGTCCATTGTAACAAGCAGGGATATATTGTGACGGGTGTCCATTCCTTTTCAGAGTGCAGACTAGTGAAGTCAGTTGCATTCTTCTCTCACGTGGTTAGTTTCTCATTGTGCTGTGTGCATTATGGGTGTGTGTGTAATTGACATAGATAAACGCATTCAGCACTTGTTACTGAATCTATAGCAAAGCCATCGTACTCCAAACAGCATGGTACTGACCTGGTAATAAAACCGGCAGTAAGTCTCCAAGGAGGTGATGTGTTATGTGATAACCCTGGCATTTAAATCACTAGAAGGGTGGTTTTTAATCAGAGGCAGGGAGAAGACTCTCGGGCAGAGAAGAAACCGCTGCTTCCCACCACATCTCAAGTAAAACCAGAATGGATTGAGTATTAACGGTGACCAGACTAGTCAGACTGCTTAGAAGAAACCAGAGATTACCCAAGATAGGAGAGCCAGAGGCCGCAAAGAGGACAATCAGACACGTGCAAACCTCAGAATTTAGAACAGCCATGTGTATGCCCTGGAGACACTGTAAGCAAAGACAGAGAGTGCCGGGAAATGTGTGCACACATGGGCTCCCTCTCCAATACAGAGAGCAGTGAGAGGGCAGAGGGCAGAGGCTGGGCCTCCTCCCAGGGGGGTCCTCCGGCGGCGGAGGCAGAGCCAGGTTTGACCCCTGCCTGCCAGAGGAGGGGGCTTCGCGGAGGAGCTTGTGGCAATGTGAGGTGGGTGACAAGCTGTGCTCTTCTGAGAAGCACCTACCTCTGACGGGGTCGGGGGTGGTGGAAGTGGTTCGACATAGTTCATTGCCAGTAGACATTCTCTCTAGGGCCTGGGGACACAGTGAATTGGGCTGCTAACGGTAGGGTCGGCGGTTCAAACCCACCAGCCAATCCTCAGGAGAAAGGCGAGGTGAGCCCCGCCCCCCTCCTGTAAACATTCCGTCTCGGGAACCCTCTCGTGTGATTGGTTCTGCTTTAGCCTATCGGATCCTATCGGCTCAGAGGCATTGCGTTTGGGACCGGGACCCTCTCTGGGGCGCTCCGTGACTGGAAGCCGTGGTGGTGGTGGGTCAGGAACCGCAGGCAAGCTGCACCCGCTGATGAGGTGCTGGGAGGAGCCGAGGCCCCCCTGGCCAGCCCGGGAAAGGTCCTGGTGGCCGCTAGGCAGGGGCGGCGGGACCCTTCGCAGGGATGGAGGCGACGCTGGGCTGGGGTCGGGAAGGCTCACGGTTGAGCGGAGACAGACAGGACTGCAGCTCTGGCTGCCCGTTCCAACTGCCGGACTCTGCACAGACCCAGAGACCGAGTACCCTTTTGTCTGTCTGTAAAGGGTTCCCCCAGGAATCAACCAGGCCAGGGTCCTCGTGCACATCGCTGACCACCCGCCTGCCCTTGGGGATTCCCAGAGCTTGCGGTTCTCCACTGGCTCCCACCTCCAACGCGTTCAGCTTCTTCACATCGCCGCAGCCCTCCTTCCCTGTGTAAGCAGCAGCCTTCAGGTCACCCCACCAGCAGTGCCCGCCCCCTACCCCCCAAGAGCATAGGACACAGCAGGGGTAGCACACTTTACTGAGGGGGAGGGATGTGTACATCACAGAACTGTAGGGCAGGCGGACACTGAGCAGGAGATGACCCTTTAAAGAAAGGTCCCTCAGACACTGGACTCAGGAGAGGACACTAGAGCCCCTCCCCCACCCCAGGGTCACTCACCCTATGGCTGTCGGGACTCCACAGAGGACCACAAGGCAAGGCCAGCACTCCGAGGGGTCAGGAGGGAGTGTGACCCCGAGACCAAGAGTGACCCCAGCCTTAGCCATCGACAGCCCAGTCAGGCCCGGGGCACTTGCCAGTCTCAGGGTTACAGCGCCCACCCATGGCCAGGACACAGGGTGGAGGAGAGCTGTCTGGGCAGTAGGAATGGCCGGAGAAGCAACACCTGTTCCCACCCGCCCCGCCCCACCCCCTCTCCCTCCCCGAGATCCACCCAACCGCAGGTGGGGTCTGCTGAAGTGGCTGAGTGTGGGCTTAGAGATCACCTGGTCGCCCAGGGCCACTCCAGGGCCCTAGAAGGAGCAGCACCCGCTGACTCTGAGTCCCATCCCCTGGCTGAGGGCCACTCTTCAAAGGTGCTGTGACATCAGAGGGGGTGTGGGTGCCAGGTAGTGCACCTGTGTGCCCGGGACCACTGGGGACAGGAGCCTGTGAGCTGGATGTGGGCACAGGAGTGCTGGTAGTTCAGAGTGCACTGAGGGGCTGACAGTGCTTGGCATGTGTGCCGGGTGTGTATACCTGGTATGTGCGCAATGTGTGTGTGCACTATGGACGGGCAGTGCTCGGTGTGTGCACCAGTTATGTGTGTATACATGGTGCTGGGCTTCTGTATGCCCTGGGGGGTGTATGCACTGTGTGCGTGCACTGGGGCTGGTATACACTGTGAACTGGCAGTGCTGTGTGTGTGTGTGTGTGTGTGTGTGTGTGTGTGTGTGTGTGTGT